AATATCTAAAATTTGGTTTTGGTTTTTTGTTTGTTTATTTAGTTTTCTGTAACGTTTAGAATAACAAAATTCAAGCGGTTTTACGTCATCAGCAATACCGCATTATAGTCATAGAACGAATGTTTGCACTGGTGAATGGGCCAGTCGGGGTCAAATCTACAGTGCCACCACGCTGGAATGTGTATACATATCCCCATGGACAATACAATTATTTTTCTCAACCAAAAAATGTCCATGACGGACAGTACCTATTAAAAGACAACTCCAAAGTACTAGTATACATATTTTGATTATTTAACCTGGTCGAATTACTCTGAAAACGAGAAACAGTCTACCCAAGAGCGCCTCTCTTTGAAGGTGTCGATGGTTGAGATTCATGGGAAGTAAGTCGAGGACTGGAAACGGAGTGATAATTAGGTATCCTTCAAAACTGACTTAACTCCAAGCTCATTTTGCGGTATCATTGAGCAGATCATGATGATTAAAGTATATATATAAAAGGAAATAACAATCAGGCAAGAAAGAACAAGTGGAATGGTAAGAGATTTACATGACTTAACTTGTTTGTACATTATTGAGAGTACATTAATTACAACCTTAAGCTTTACTCCTGTTAACGTAAACATTAATACGTCCCCGCGTGTATGGTGCAACAACATATTCAATTCTTTACTGGAAATAATTAGGATACAAAGAGAAGGACAAATCATAATTCTTTATCAACAGCGTAACCTTCTTGGAATGTTGAAGGTGGAAGTATAACTATATTGACTTCTTTCAGACTAAAGAGAGGTAACTCCTGAAGGTTATGCTACATTTAAAACGAATGTCTGGGAAACAAAACAAGTCACCAACACGTGTTAGTTGTACCATCGACTTCTTCATACATTCCCGGACCTTAATATAGTATCAATTGCACTTAACATATTTTCTCGTAAGTAATGTACTTAACTGATGCATTGCACAAAAAAAGTCTCGACAAGACGATTTTAATGTACAGTTTATTTAATATTCGCCCAAAGGTTCAGCCACAACGTTGATAATAAATACTTTTTCACCGGAGTAGTTATTGTGTACGTATTTAGTATCATTGATGTGCATTGGTCGTGTAATATGTATTTTCCCCACATTCATCGAGTCGGGAGTGAGGAAACCCAGTGAATGAACCTGCCAGGAGTTAAACGTTATTTTATTGATCACTCTTCTGTTATTACGCCAAGTAACAATGCTTTGCAACGTCATCTTCCATTGTGACGTCATAGTTCATGGCTATTGTTTCCCCGATTGTCAAATGTTTGTCTTGGTGTCATATCTGATCGTTTAAGGAGAAAAGGGGCCCCGAACTCGTGATGGTTGATTACCATGTTTATCTAACTCTCCTAAGTTAATTTTCAAGTCGTATTTATACACTCGGTAAACCTTACGTCTTTTTATAATTTGAAAATCAAGTAACTCGTGTAAGATAAACATGACAACCAACCATCACTCATTGGGGAACCTATATGTATATATATTCTTGACAAAATGAATCACTTCTACGAAATACAATAACTTAACGATACATGGCCAAAATGCATTAGCTGTAATATGGCAAGGATCAATGTTTTTTTTATCATCTGTATACGTCTTTTATTTACAGTATAATCGGAAAGTGTGTTAATTACCAGGATTATTTTCGTTCAACCTTTCACGTTTGTAATATGATACTGTCACTACTGTACCTTTCATTATGGTAACAATGCAGTGCACTAACTTGTATATCTTAAAATTATTATCATATCCACATTGATGTCGATCCACTGATACATTCTATAAACACAATTCAAAAATAAAACAACAACAACAACGGTAGAATTTCTTTGTTTATTTCCGATTACATGGAATGATACCAATCACCTTTAGTATTCAAAGATGAACACAATTATCACATGAACACGATTCCTCAAAATCATTGGTGCTCGATTTTGAAATTGTAATGAACGAAGGGAAACAACTCCCACCAAAAGTAAAGTCTAATGAGAAGTAATGGCCTTTTTCACTAAGTTGATTAAACTTATTTCACACATGTAGAAAAATAAATATAACGTTTACTCTTAAATAGTAATGCTGAGAATAAAATCAATGTTACTTCAACAACATCTAGGGACAGAGTCACGTGCCAATTTAGAGCTCTTTATCTTGTACATGTTCTATGTACAATTGCAATCTAATCTTCATTTAGGCAAAACGGTCAAACTTTTCCAGATGCAGTATTTATTAATCCTATGTCAGTGTTGTATGGGGGAATGAATTGACACTGTAGATCAGTGAAATTCTTAAAAATATAGGAAATCGACAATAAAATGTACAAGTGCATGTACCGCAAATATTATTTCATCAATTCAATTACCAGATTACTAATTTTGTGTTAATTAATAGTGTGTAAAAATGAACACATTTTCAACCTGAATCAGATCCATATTATTGTATGATACTTATGCAAGGATATGAAGCAATATGTCTTTTGTAAGGGGTGATAATAACAAAAAAACTTTGATAAATTAGAACTTAAAAGAATGAACGAAATGATGTTTATGTAAGCTCTTGAGCTTTTTTTGAACTTTATAAAATATAAAAATGCAGTATAAACCACCAGATATTAACAGCTCAATGAGACAGTATATGGCTGTATAAAACAACCAAATGCAAGTATGGTTTTTCAATCTAATTATCAACATCTGTACCTGTATACAATGTACTACTGTGCTAATCATTAAGTCAGCAATTTTTTTTTGTGTATAACAACAATTTCTGCCTTTCTGCGTGTTATTCCAATGAAGATATTTAGACATCTGCATGGTATTTGTATACAAAAACAAGTCCCCTGTATAAAATATGACCAAACTATAATGTACAACAAGACACTAACAACAACCATTTGACTATAAGCCTTACAAAACAAAATAGGACAAGAATATTATTTACTATCATCTCTTCTTAGTAATTCAGAAAAAATCCTATATAACAAACTTCAGTACAGCTGTAAGCAGAAATATCCTGTACAAAAGTAACTACATTTAACAACAACACCCCCCACCCCACCCCTGCTGGGATCTTTTTTTGGTTCATCACATAAAATGGTCAGTTGTATCACAAACTGTTAATCTAAGCAATTTATGTGTATTAATTCAATGTATGTTGTAGTACTTCTTTAATTTATTTACATTTCAAGGGAGATTGCTTTATATAAGATTCAAAATCTTGTTGCCAGATCCTATTAATATTTCTATTCCGTCTTTGCGTATTGCAGAGTTATCTTCTCTTGGGAGGAGGGATTGATTGTTACGTCATTGGTTTGTGCGAGAAAATTACGTCGTTTTCTCAAAAATTGATGACGTACTCTCACAAACAAGTGACGTAACAACCAATACCTGCTCCCAAGAGAAGATAACCCTGCAATACGCAAAGACGGAATTAACCTGTGTACTTATTATATATGATATATGAAATAAATATTGTTTAAACCGGCCAACAAGAGTGATTAGTATAAGTTGTAAAAACTTGTTTCATAATTGTTGTAAAATAAATAAAGTTTATATTTTATTTTTTTAACAACAACCTTGAATATCAATAAAGTATACAAAGTTTTATTGGAACCTATGAAGTATTTTAGGTATACATGTAGGCAAGACAACTTTTTAAGGTGAAGGGACATAAGTCAAACTGGAAAGAAATTGAAAATAAAATAAACTAATATGACAAATAAAAAAAGAAAAGAAATATGTACATACCAATTGAGATAAAACAGTACATGTTGGCAAAGGATAAGTTATTCTGAGGTACAAAATGCACCTAGAAAACTTAAAATGTAAATTGTTGTCATGAAAGATGACAGATTCTTAACCATCTTGTATTCCAATGTGATAATGATGCAGTCAATTCTTGTCCTGGAATTGACTTAATGAACACTTGATCAACATTGATTTAGCACCATGGTATTCAGAAACCATACTCGACCTAATTAATAATTTGAGGTAGTTGGAATGATTACAAAACTTTCCAAAATTCTCAAAGAATTAGTCATAATAGACACTTTTAACAAGTAAACTATCAATTTATGGTGTCAAAAGGGATAGAATCATCAGACAAGAAAAATGATAATGGAACTTACTTAAAAGTTGGGGCATTTATTAGGTCGAATAGGGTAGAATAGTATAAACAAGAACATCATAGCCACATTGTGAGTTTTCTGGTTTTCCCTGCGATAAATCAGTGCTGTACAGCACTTCTGCTTTACAGAGGCTTTCTGTTGGTAGCCTTAAAACATACAATTTCTAGTTTTCTGCCATTCTGAGTGATAGCTAGACTTGGCATATAACTGTTTTCAATATACAGTCAAACCTCGTTATCTCGAACTCGTATAACTTGAAGACCCCGTTTTAACTCCGAGTATTTCATCGGTCCCGGCCAAAACTCTTCTTAATCTTAGTAATAAAAACTCTGATAATTCAAACTCTGAAAACTCGAAAAATTTGGATATACTGAAGTGAAACATCGGTCCCAACAACGAAAATCCTACATAAAAATATCTCCTACCTCGAAGTTTCATAAGATTCACAAGTCTATCATATAACGTTATTCTTTAATTATTTGATACGTGGTACGGTAAACATCGTTCTCATAGAGCAGCTTACGCTCGGTCATAATTACTTCGATTAAACTTATGGCATTAAAATGTGTTTGACTGTACAAACCATGTATTATACATCTAAAATAGCTACAATGTTTAAAATATGACTTTAGATTAGTCAAATATTTAATTCAGTGAAGGCTGTGTACAAGAACAGGGAATGTAAAACAATGTACACAATTTTATGAATACTGTATTTACAAATTCTTTTCCATAAATAATATACATGTATTATAATAAAGAATAAAATGAAAACATGATTTAAAGAAAAAAATGAATACCTAGAAATTGTATAAAAAGATGAATTCTACAAAATATAAGTGTTCTTTACATAAATGTAACAGCCTCCATATGTAGGTTTAGTGTTCTGTATTATGTTATAAATGTAAAAGCCTCCATATGTAGGTTTAGTGTTCTGTATTATGTTATAAATGTTACAGCCTCCATATGTAGGTTTAGTGTTCTGTATTATGTTATAAATGTCACAGCCTCCATATGTAGGTTTAGTGTTCTGTATTATGTAATAAATGTAACAGCCTCCATATGTAGGTTTAGTTTTCTGTATTATGTTATAAATGTAAAAGCCTCCATATGTAGGTTTAGTGTTCTGTATTATTTTATAAATGTAACAGTCTCCATATGTAGGTTTAGTGTTCAGTATTATGTTATAAATGTAACAGCCTCCATATGTAGGTTTAGTGTTCTGTATAATGTTATAAATGTAACAGCCTCCATATGTAAGTAAGTGTTCTGTATTATGTTATAAATGTAACAGCCTCCATACGTAGGTTTAGTGTTCTGTATTATGTTATAAATGTAACAGTCTCCATATGTAGGTTTAGTGTTCTGTATTATGTTATAAATGTAACAGCCTCCATATGTAGGTTTAGTGTTCTATATTATGTTATAAATGTAACAGCCTCCATATGTAGGTTTAGTCTTCTGTATTATGTTATAAATGTAACAGCCTCCATATGTAGGTTTAGTGTTCTGTATTATGTTATAAATGTAACAGCCTCCATACGTAGGTTTAGTGTTCTGTATTACGTTATAAATGTAACAGCCTCCATATGTAGGTTTAGTGTTCTGTATTATGTTATAAATGAAACAGCCTCCATATGTAGGTTTAGTGTCCTCATGTTCATAAAAGGCCGAGAGGCTTTTTCAAATGTTCTATTATGACAAAGAGTCTGCATGAAACTTGCGTTCTTCAATTTAATTTCTATAACATTCAATATTTTCCAGCTTTGAAAAGCAGCCCAACTAAAACTGTAACACAAAGTATGCTGCATATTTCTACAAAAAAGGAGTAAAATATAACATCGGTGCTGATATGTATAACAAATTCAAAGTATAAACATAAAAGGACTTGGTATCCATACTATAATTAGAGCTTTTTATTATATATATACATATATGCTTAAGTTGTGCTTTCCTTTTTTTAACATACATATTTACAATATAAAACAAAATTTATAAATTCACCTGTATCATACTTTTTCTGTAGTTGGTAATGAACCATTTTCTGCTTTTGTTTCATTGTTTTTATTTTTGACCTCTTCCATTTTCTTTTTATTGTCCTCGATAATTGCAAGGCGTATTTCCTCTTTGGCCTCGGCTATAATATGACCTGCATCTGAGTCTAAAATTAAACGTGCGAGCTCATAGCCGGCGTCCTCACAATGTTGCATCTCTTCTTTAGACACGCCATTACTTACAACACTGGCATAGGTCTTCTCATCTTCTGTTCGACAAACCTGACAAAACATAAATGAATATCGATTGTTTTACATTTTCTATTATTTTCACTTGTTTGAAAATTCAGAGACAAATTCTGCTCATTACCGTCAGACTATATTTAGCATAAATGAAGCAAATATTAACTACAAAGTTTATTTATGTTACAACAGCTATGAACCAAGTTATTGCAACTAGTATTAATCACTCTTGTTGGCCCTAATGTTCGTGTGCTAGAGTTTTAATGCAAAAGGAAACCCTGGGAAAAAAAACCATGGTCGGGCAGGTGACCCCATACCTTTTCAGGTCTGAAACCCCGGCCACCTTGGTGAAAGAAATGTTTCAGGTCATAATAATACAAGAGGCCTAAAGGGCCTATATCGCTCACCTGTTCCTTTTGTTACATGAAATTGACCTATAGGTAACTTCAGACCAAATTTGGTAACTAGAACACCAGACATTTTAACATCTCTTACAAACTTGATAAGATATTGTTGTTTGAAATTTCAACTTTTTAATTTTAAAGCTTTTAACATTGTTGACCTTTGACTCCGGCTAGCACCTGAAGTTCACATTTGACCTCATTACTGTAATAAAGAAACAATTCACAGCTGGTCTACATAACATACCCAAGTATCATGACTCTAGACCAAATGCTTCTTAGGATATCATTGTTTGAAGTTTTTAACATATTTGACCCCTGTGACCTTGAAACTAGGTCAAGGTCATTTTAATGAGGAAAATTTATAGCACTCCATCCCAGGTACATATTGTACATAGTACTTACTGGCCAAATATCACGACTTTTGGCCTTATGGAATTTGAGAAGAAGACGATTGTTAAAGCTTTACACCCATGTTGACCTTTAACCCCAGCTAGCATTAAGAGTCGACCTTTGTCCTCATTACTGTCATTAAAGGAAAGATTCGCACTGCTGGTTTACATAACATACCCAGGTATCATGACTCTAGTACAAATGGTTCTAAGGATATTGTTGTTTGAAGTTTTTAACATATTTGACCCCTCGTGACCTTGAAATTAGGTCAAGGTCATTTTAATGAGGAAACTTTATAGCACTCCATCCCAGGTACCTACTGGCCAAATATCATGACCCTAGGTCCTCCAGTTCTTTAGAAGAAGTCGTTCAAAAGAAAAAGTTGACAGGCAGATAGATGGATGGACGACGCAGTAGGGCAAAAGCTCACATGGCCTTCGGGCCAGATGAGCTAAAAATATATACTTTTTTTAATTGTATCCTGGTTTTTAACTTGATGCAGATCTTAAAATGATATGATGGACTACACTAAACACATTACTATAGTTACCTTCTTTGACGAAGGCTTCGGGTCGGGACAGAGGTCCTTAGATATATGGACAATCTTGTGCTTGGAGCCATCAATACTGAACACACCACCATCTATATGCAGCTGTGGAAATAAAATTATCATTAGTGTTGTTGTATTTCCTACAACATTTCGGTAGACTTTAAATAACCAATTGTATCATGAATATGTACTTTTAATCACTTATGCAGTTTGAACAGAAATCATGGCATCAATTACGAAATCTCATTTTGTTTACAGATTTTATAGTAAATACTTTTTTTAGATACACAAGAGCAATCAGGTAGCATGATAATGCAGCATGAAATTGTAACTTATTCAGATTATTTTGGGTTTGTGTGCTTACCTGATTGTCCCTAACTTCTGTGATTACACTGACTGGTACACTGCACCCTCCCTCCTGTATACATATAACAAACATGGCTGTGAGTGTGAGAACCAACTAGTACCAAACAATTAGCCAATCTGTCCTGTATACATAAAAAACATGGCTGTGAGTGTGACAACCAACTAGTACCAAACAATTAGCCAATCTGTCCTGTATACATAATAAACATGGCTGTGAGTGTGAGACCCAACTAGTACCAAACAATTAGCCAATCTGTCCTGTATACATAATAAACATGGCTGTGAGTGTGAGGACCAACTAGTACCAAACAATTAGCCAATCTGTCCTGTATACATATAACAAACATGGCTGTGATTGTGAGAACCAACTAGTACCAAACAATTAAAAAATCTGCCCTGTATACATATAACAAACATGGCTTTGAGTGGAAGAACCCACTAGTTCCAAACAAATAACCAATCTGTCCTGTATTCATAACAAACATGGCTGTGTGTGTGAGTACCCACTAGTACCAAACAATTCATCCACAAATTACCATGCAATTAACCAATCTGTCCTGTAGGCATAACAAACATGGCTGTGATTGTGAGTACCCCCTAGTACCAAACAATTCATCCACAAATTACCATGCAATTAACCAATCTGTCCTGTCATGGCTGTGAGTGTGAGAATCCACTAGTACCAAACAATTAACTAATCTGTCCTGTATACATAATAAACATGGCTGTGAGTGTGACAACCACCTAGTACCAAACAATTAAAAAATCTGCCCTGTATACATAACAAACATTGCTGTGAGTTTGAGAACCCACTAGTACCAAACAAGTAACCAATCTGCCCTGTATACATAACAAACATTGCTGTGAGTTTGAGAACCCACTAGTACCAAACAAGTAACCAATCTGCCCTGTATCCATAACAAACATGGCTGTGATTGTGAGAACCCACTAGTACAAAACAATTAACCAATCTGCCCTGCATACATAACAAACATGGCTGTGTGTGTGAGTACCCACTAGTACCAAACAAGTAACCAATCTGCCCTGTATACATAACAAACATGGTTGTGAGAGTGAGAACCCACTAGTACCAAACAAGTAACCAATCTGCCCTGTATCCATAACAAACATGGCTGTGTGTGTGAGTACCCACTAGTACCAAACAAGTAACCAATCTGCCCTGTATCCATAACAAACATGGCTGTGTGTGTGAGTACCCACTAGTACCAAACAAGTAACCAATCTGCCCTGTATCCATAACAAACATGGCTGTGTGTGTGAGTACCCACTAGTACCAAACAAGTAACCAATCTGCCCTGTATCCATAACAAACATGGCTGTGTGTGTGAGTACCCACTAGTACCAAACAAGTAACCAATCTGCCCTGTATACATATAACAAACATGGCTGTGATTGTGAGAACCAACTAGTACCAAACAATTAGCCAATCTGTCCTGTATACATAAAAAACATGGCTGTGAGTGTGCGATCCCCCTAGTACCAAACAATTCATCCACAAATTACCAAACAATTAACCAATATGCCCTGTATACATAACAAACATGGCTGTGAGTGTGAGAACCCACTAGTACCAAACAATTCATCCACAAATTACCATACAATTAACCAATCTGTCCTGTATACATAACAAACATGGTTGTGAGTGTGAGAACCCACTAGTACCAAACAATTAACCAATCTGCATGGCTGTGAGTGTAAGAACCCACTAGTACCAAACAATTAACCAATCTATCCTGTATACATAACAAACATGGCTGTGAGGGTGAGAATCCACTAGTACCAAACAATTAACCAATCTGTCCTGTATTCATAACAAACATGGCTGTGAGTGTGAGAACCCACTAGTACCAAACAATTCATCCACAAATTACCATACAATTAACCAATCTGTCCTGTATACATAACAAACATGGCTGTGAGTGTGAGTACCCACTAGTACCAAACAATTCATCAACAAATTACCATACAATTAACAAATCTGTCCTGTGTATAGCCCAAGCAAGTTGGTAGACTACATTTGTACATCACAGTGATTACTAAATAACAAGCGGCCCTCTTAAAAATACATTGTATGATGTTCATAAACAGAGGTACAAATTTTGTGTGTTACTTTCTCAATATCAAGAGTTTTACAAAAAGGTTGTCTATAAAACAGAAATGTTAGCCTGCTTATTTGTATCTGTTTGAAGACAAGGGTATAGTATCATAGGTGTGATGTACCGGTACATATAGTGCAGCATCCACTGGTGTAACAAAGTGACATACCTAGAACCCTATACTTGCCAACTCTCTCTACATTGGAGGGGGACACCTGATTTTAGACCTTAAAATTGAGGATTTTCAACCAGATCAAATGATTTCATCTGAAAGAACATCTCAAAAGATGTCATTAAAAGTGATATTTTCCTGCTACAATGTAGACACATTTAATTTATGTAATTAATTTGGAGCACATGTAATCTCCCCCATAGAAATTTTAGAAATTTCAAAAAGATGGCTAGTATGGAACCCTTCGGATGTATTCTTGTAACAAAATATTCATAAATGTTGAAAATTTAATGTACCTTGGTAACAGGAAATAGCTAAATTTGTACTATATTACTCAGTAAATAATTTCTTGGGTGTGGTCGGAAGGGGAATACATGCTGTAATTTATTTCATTAGCCAAAGAAATAAGAATTAAATGTCTTTAAAACCTTCAAATTTTGATGGGTGCATAAAAACTGCTGCTTTCCAAAGAAGATCATAGATTGCAATGTTCACAATGCATATTGCTCATATATATCAGTTTTATAGCAGGCAAATCTAAATTTGACAGCCAGACCCAAGGGATGAATGACGTACCAAAGTCTTGAGGAAAGACCTTTCAGCCACACATTGTAGGACAGTGTCATTGTCGTGTATAACTGATAGCATCTCTAGAGTGTCTTTGTCATCAGATCGACACTCCACACCCATAGCTCCCTGGCTCACGGCGTACATACACAAGTCAGAGGTCAAGACCTGGAATCGAAGGTCAAACAATTCAATGTGATATAATAAACATGCAATGGGCATAGGTTTATGAAATCATTCTAATGCTACAACTTCAGTAATGTCTCCAAATTTTATTTTTTGTAACTCTCTTTTGTTGTTACATTAAACAATAATTGTTCTTCCTCATCCCTTGAACTATGAAATGAGCTTTAGCAATCAATATGGATTTTGAGCACAACAACAATTTGTCTGAATACAAATCGAAAAACAGTTTACTAAATGGTCTCTGATTGCTGTCAAAGAACATAGGTAAGTTAATTCATAGATTTCACTTTCTTATAAAAAGACTGACATTTTTATTTTGGCATATTTAACACAAACACCTCACAATAAGAAACAGTGTATTTACAACATATGACAGCACATTCTGAGTAGAAGTAGAGGAAACAGAGTCAAATTGTACCTGGTCTATCCTGTGGCTCCATCCCATCCTATCCAAGCCAGCCACAGCAAGTATTGTTGCATCATATTTGTTGTCATCATCTAATTTCTTTAGTCGGGTGTTCACATTACCACGCTAGGATCACTGTTAAGGTGTATATAACTAATGGAGGTATTACTGAAGTCACACTGTCTGTATTTTTGAATATGTAACTTCCTGTCACTATGGCGTACCTGTAACTATACGAGAGGCAATATAGGTAGATATTACACTATATTATTTTTTCATATCATTCCCGACAAGTGATTGGCCAGGAGTGCATCACGTGTCCACCGATAAAAACCGATATTGATTTGGAGCGCATGATTTTTGTTGAAGGACTGGGTGTTTCTAAAAATAGAATTATGACGTGTCTCCAAACAATGCACTGTCCCACTTCCAAAGCTGTTTTGTTGTGGTTTTTTTTCTCAGATTGCTTACATTACTGTTTTGTAAAATAATAAAACAGTTGTAGCCTTTAACTTCGGTCAATACCTAGATTTATCGACCCGAGAAAAGAAATATTGACCTCAGACTGCGTCCTCGGTCAATATATCTTTTCTCGGGTCGATAAATCCAGGTATTGACCTCAGCCAAAGGCTATAATTGAATGATATTTATCAATTATGGACTTTTGTTGAGGTGAACATGTGTTTATGTGAACCTTAGAAAGTGATATTAACCGTCGTTATCATTAAACTTAATATAATGTATGAAAATCGTAAGGAGAAACATACTGCATTTGACGGGGAGCATTTTGACATCATCATGGAAATGACGTCATAAAAACAATATTAACCTACAAAATGTAGTAAAAAATAGGTAACACAGAGTCAATATCACTTACCAATGAGGATTTGGGAAAAAAAGAAATGTCATGTACCTGGTATACCTCGTAACAAGAATGACATACAATCTTTTGAATCATAAATAGCTTTAGTCACTGTAATTGTGTTTCCACGTCCCCCAAAAGGATACAATGTTCTCAAACTTAAACGTCGGGAATTTTCTAGAGATCTGCGACTGCCTCCTTAGGGAGCTGGTTCCAATAACACTACAACAGATAAACAAGGACTGTACAATACAATCATGTTTTTTTTTTTTACAATTCAATAGAGCTCATTGATACATAGCTGTAAAGAAAAGATATTTTAACAGTATGTGGTTCTGAATCAATAAATCAAACAGAAATCACATACCTTCCATCTGGTAGGTCCTTAAGAGTCTTCCCTTTGTGTTTTGGGTGCATCACTACAGCATCATAGGGATTGTCTCTCCTGGAACACAGTGTGTTAAAACTGCTATTAAGCTAGCCTAGTCAAAGCAACTTTGTTCCCCTTCTGACAGAAAATTTGGATTCACAAACCATAACATATTGACTTTCTTGACCTTGAACAAATTGAAACTTTTCTCGACCTCCCCCTCTAACTTCTTAAAAGTTTGGTGACCTGATCGTACACCTGGCAAAGAGCTGAATTAATAGAGATTTAATACCTGTATCAGTATTCATTTATATTTCTTACAACACTAAATTATTGGTTTTTTGTTTGGAGAAGAATAAATAAACAAGATGTCAAATTGTATTTTCTAAAAAGTTTTGGTTTACACGAAACCTATGCTGTGTATATTATTTTATCCACATCTTTGCAGTCAAAGGACAACCTAAAGTATATTCATACTTGTTCATAGAAACATGCTAATTAAAAATTAAACATTACTTGTATACACATCCAACCACTAGATTTTTTGGAAGATTGGTAGGCAGGTCCTTGAGAGAATGCACCACAAAGTCCACAGATTTATCCTCCAGAGCATTCTCCAGCTCCCGTGTGAATAGACTCTTCTCTCCAATCTGATAAGTAAAACACCGATACAATTTCCGGATATTTAAATTTTTTATGAACTTGTGAAGTATATGCAAGTTTTGCACATACTGGTAAATACTGTAATATCAGGTGTAAATTAAAGCCATTATTTAAATATGATAAATTTCACGTAATAACAAAAATTGTAATTTACTGAGGCAAACACGTTTACCAATGTAGAAACAGAAATGATGATGAAGGTTTACTGAACACAATTAAATAATCTACAGGTTTTGTTTGCATGCATGGGTCTAATACAACAATTTCATACTGGGCACACAACCACCATAAAATATTTATTTTGTCACTTTAGGACAGACTAATTCCCTGGTCCTTCAGCCTGTGGAAAAAGTTTGCCTTTCTGAGATAATATAATTACAATTCTCCTCATTCCATAACTACAATGCAACTGATCAGTATATGTTTATGAGCCATGATCGGGGTCCTGATAATCAATTTACTACATTTACCAAGTATTTACCTTTGACAAAGCAGCATCTAAAATCTTGTCTCCTGTTGTAGCCATGGTGACTGAAAAACATTAAAATTAGAATTAAAAAAGTCAAAGCTGATAAATGTTTAAAAAAAAATACATCTAAAAACTATTTCAGACATTTGTAACGAACCCCTGTGATTAGATTCAAGTTTCAACTTTTCCATCAACATATAATATCTGATGAGCAGCTAATAATGAATGAATCAACCAAAACATAAGAAGAAAATGCTTACCAACTTCAAATGTAGCATCTGGATGGTATTCCTTCAATTTGTTAATTACTGTGTTTGTCTGCTTCAAAGCCAGCTGTCAATAATTAAGATTTACAATTAAAAGTGATGTGTAAGATAAATTTATTAGCCAGGCAAATATAATTAATTCACAGCCACTCATTAAAATCTCCTTTCTTCCTGTTCTGGGAGTCTGATCCTATTCTTGACAAATTATATATTTAATAGCCATTGTAATGTGTGGACAATACATTGTGAAATTTGAAATAAAGAATAATATTAATTCAAGAAAATAATATAATAAATCAACATTAAAATAAAATTATTTGCCAACCGACCAACCCTATTTTGTTCAAACATGTTATCTGAAACATGTTATTTTTTTAAGCCTAAAAAACCCCTGGATAAAGCTGAGTAAGCTTATAAGCTATAGATCAGGGATTCATCACCCACGTTGTAGTTTGTTACGACTTTGCTAAAGCCTATATCTTTCATAATTATATAACGATTATACCTGAAGAGGTAACTTCAGTTTAAAGGTCATGTACATTGGTCAGGGATGTTTACATCTCACATGTCAATGACCTAGATGTCATGAACTGTGTCTCTATGTGTAAAACATACAAGAAACATGTCTAACTAGTGGAATACAAGTATTTAAAATGTTTGTCGACTCATCAAGAACCGGAAATCTATAGGTAACATCTAAAAATTTGGGCAATGACTCAGAACATAAATGTATCTGTCAAACTGACACATCTACCATGACAAATATTACCGTAGACTCAACCACACATACAATGAATATGGGTGAAAATTAAAGTAATTGCATGCATTCAAACTATTTGAAGGATGATTAGGATACAATGTATAGCTTCCAGACGCTTAAGTATGGAAAAGTCTTAAGCAACTCTAACCACAGTGGCATGTAAAAAATATATCAAAATTAAATATAGATAGACAGACTCATAGTATTTTGTGTTTGTATATATGTATTTTCATATTTGGTCGAAAGGTCAGATAAGTTAGATTCTAATTACATATAATTGATATATATGGTGAGGTGTATTTAAAGGATGACACAAAAACTGTTTCCTCCCCATGAACCCCACCAAATAAAGAAACCCCTGTGGTATTCCAAACACCGATTTTACTATCAAATAAATAATGTCATGTTTATGTGACTCAAACAAAATAAAATTATGATACTATCATATTTATTCCTTCAGAAGTACCATCATTGGCAACAACGTGTGGATTGCCCATACGTCGGATTATATTACTGCCAGAGTAAATATTTGTTAATAAACTATGTAAGATAAGTTGGCCTACATCTTATCCTCGTCAAGTCCGTGTCCTCTCTCTGAACACCACGTGTCAACATATAGAACAGCACGTTACGTGATGTTTAAGCCAAAAATGGAAGCTTCATTTGGTTTCTAATCTCAACATTACAATTTTAAGTACTTTACTTACCTCACTCTTCCTTGAACCGACTTTAATAAGTCTTTTCTCCGACATATTTGCAGAATTCTGATATTATCACGGTAGACTTCGTCTGCACGATCGTGTCATTGAAGCCGGATGCAAAGAAGGTCAAAGGTAACAGCCGGGTATTGAGACTAGCTTACTACAAAATAAAAACCGGAATGTGGCATAACATTCCGGAAAATAACTTAAATTAAATAATAATTTAATTTTTCATCCATGGAAAAGGGAACCATTACTTAATATATGTAAATATCACAGCTGTAAATTAGCAGAATGATGGTTGAGGCCTTTTTGGATAACCACTAAAACGAATTTTGCCCAATGCTCGAGTAGTTATTCCTCAAAGGTGAGAAGAAATAAGAGTTTGAACGGAATCTAATTAGGGGATGGGTTGTTCACAAACCCTGGACAACAGCCCTCCCTCTGTATCCTCCCAAGATAACAAGCTATGTGAAATGTGCAAGGACATAGACATAATTCCGTAGTTACAATAATACAATTTAAATATGAAATCGCATATCTGCATTTTAATCAGATTATCTGTTTGAACAACAATCCTCCTTAAATTCGATTTGGCTCAATGGACCGAAAATTCAAGCTTCTAAAAAATAATGATTTTATTTGAAGTAGTTACATATGTACTTCATTTTTCATATATTTTAAATTGCCGTTTATTTTATATGATATGATCGATTTTATAAACTGACATTTTCGGTCTATTACACATNATCCGTCATTGTCGATGTAGCTATATCTATCACCGCTTCAGTTATATGTTGTTAAATCCAGGTCTGTGCCCCTGGCGACATAATTATCATATCATTTTATCAGTAAAATGCATTTTTTACTGATCAAGACGGATCCAATATTGATGAGTTGACAGTTGACAGCTTCGGGGATTCTCGGGACCCTATATACCATATCGCGGGCGTATACATATGACAGGCATGCCTGAGGGTTACACCACAGGTACTAGCCTCGTCAGTCAATGCATCCATATTACAATCCTTGATTATAATATGGAGGAACATGTATTGACAGACGAGGCTAGAGTACAGTACATGTGGTTACACGCGCTCTCTTCTGTCTTAGCTTCAGACCTAGACATAACATGGACGTGCTAGCGTATCTATCTATGCAATGGTCGATTGTACATGTTTGTACGTGTTTGTTAAGTCTCATTTTCCTAATCTTTGTTTATCCGTGTCCATCCTTGTCCACCGGCGTTGATTTTCATATTATATTCAGTGATATGATGTATCCACATTACGTGTTAATCCTTGCGCAGAACTCATAATCACATGATCAATCTGTGTTCAGCATTATACCGTTGTTTTTTCCCAATTTATGTTCAGCCCTGTGATGACGTTAATTTGCCAATATGAGCAACTTTTTTTTTACTGTATTTGCAAATCTAAATTCAGCAATATGTTGACATTGTTTTTCATCCTTTATTTCGCCTTATTTTTCTCCCATCCTTACTAGATATGAGCTTTGTTCCCAATCACTGAAAGAGTTGTCTCCCATTTTACCTGTTCATGTTTCTTCTGTTAGCCATAAGTTATGGCAGATTGCACAACAAAAGAAACAATATAATGCCTTCTCGAGGACAATTTAATATGACGTCATGTTCAGCTCTCAACGGGAGAGGTCATGTGCAAAACGGTACGTACAAATCCCGAAAACTGCTTTTTCAAATACAGCATTGAAATGTCGAGAGAAAATTAATCAGCCCTTACCTTGATGGTGTAACCGGAACGAGACAGAAACATGTCCACTTCTCGGGTTGATTATTGAGGTGCCTAAACCTTGGCAGAGCCTCGTGTTAGACAACCAATCAATTGCCCCTTGGGTTGGAGATTATTCTGTTGCACCCTTCAGGTAGGAGGAAATTCTGTAAGTCAATCCAAATTCAGATTTGTGCAGACGTTGTTCGTCATCCAATGTCCGCTTTGTGCTGGCGTTGATTGTCGGTGTTTTGGTGACGTTATTCGTCATCTCATGTTCGCCTTAAGCTAGTGCTTAACTTGTTTGTAAGTCAATATTCAGCGTCGTGCCGATGTGATTTGGTCAAATTTATCTAACGCTTATGAGGATTTTATTTATCAATCCATATTCAGTCTTCTGCTGATCGTAATTATTAATTCATGTTCAACCATGTTGTGACAGTGTCCTTCACTCATATAATGCAACTTTCATTTGATGACGTTATCCACCATCTAATATTCCATCTAGTGCTGCTGTTGTTTCTATCGAAAATCATTCCACCTTTAACCGATATGTTTGTCATTTTATATTCCGTCTTCTCTTGCCACTTTTGCCATTTTTAGCCTGCCTTGCGTTGACGTTGTTTCCGTCAACCAAGGTTTCGCATTGTACCGACGTTATTTGACATTCTAATGTTCCGCCTTGTGCGGCTCCGTCTTGTGCTGACTTTGTTTTTCTTTTTTTTTCTTCTGTCATGTACTAATATTGTTTGTCGTCCTATGTTCAACCGTGTGTTGACGTTGACAAACCATGTTCATTCTTGCACTTACATTGTGTACCGCACACTATTCAGCATCGTTTCAATTGTTATCGTATGGGAACATGCTCTCGTTGATTCAACATTTTTTTTTCAATGGTAACCATATGTTGTTGAATTTTGTCATCTTTGTAAGGTACTACAATATGTTTTATATGATGTTCAGGTTTGTTCTGAAATTGTTAGTAAAAATTACCTTTGTATTTGATAAACCTTGCGTTTTTTTTTTAAATTGCCCGACATCCTATGATCAGCCTTGTGTCAGAAATGTTTGGTGTTTCGTTGTTTGCAGTTTGATGACTTTGTCTGACATTCGAATCGTTGCGTAAAATTGTATTGTCAGTCGTGTTTTTTGGCTGAATTTGACACCCAATCATTATCCTCCGGTTGGCAATGCTTCCATTGCTCATTATTATCAATGTATTGTATTGACGTTACTTACAGCTCTGATGTTACAGTCTATACATTAAAATTCAGTCGATGGCATAAAGCAAATTGTTTCGGGAAAATAAGAGAAGAAAAATGTTAACCATTCGGAACGTTATCGACATAAACACCACTTGAGTAGCTGTGCTATCTGCTACACATGTCATATTCAATAGTCGGAAATAAAACACCCATTTTACGATTTTCCTTTTTTAAAGTCCCAGTAGTTGCTGCAGCCGAGGAGTGCCACTTAAGTCTAGTTATGATAGGTATATCGGTCCGTGATAACCCTCTCACCTCCCCCTCCCTGTGGGTTTTTAGTTTAAATTGAATTATCACCCAGACGTCAAGATTTTACACGATTTATCACGATTGTTGGAGATAGTAAAGGCGTTACGTAACACTATGGAAACTTGGACGTCTCCAAAGGGTGAAATCCAAAAACCAGGGGGGTGTATTAGCTAAAGTCGGCTTTAAACTTAAACTTAAATAATACATTTTGTAAAAAAGTTATGCATGTATTTCATGTAAGTTGATAGCCCTTTTGTATACTTACATATACCAAGTATCTTTCAATTACATATCAAAGTTTTACAATGCGAGTCGCAACGTTTCAAGACCGACAGGTCTATGAGCGACCCCGCTCCATAACAGTTTGGAAAACGGAACTGCACATGAACACTAACTTTCTTAAGCGAATTACCTATTTTTCATTAACTTCATATTAACTTCAATGAAAAACCAAAAGTTAAAATACCCGAGGTTAAGGTACGATCGTGAACCCGGGGTCTGGTTATATGAAGTGATGTTGGTTAAAAGCTGCAAAATATTAACTAATTTATTAAGTACGCTGTTTAAAGAGGATAAGACAGGAACTTGCTTTTTAAAGTACGATACTTTATCGGGATCAGTCGGGAGCTTGTAGATATAAGTTAATTTTAAAGTACGATACATATGTACTTTAGTGGGATCAGTCGGGAGTTTGTAAATATTCGTTAATTCTAAAGTACGATATTTTAGCGGAGTCGGTCAGAAGCTGTAACATTAGTCAATTCTAAGGTACGATATTTTAGCGGAATCAGTCAGGAGCTTGTAAATATTAGTTATTTTTTAAAGTACGATATTTTAGCGGGGTCGGTCAGGAGCTGCAACATACTTAGTTAATTCTAAAGTACGATACTTAAGCGGAATCAGTCAGGAGCTTGTAAATATTAGTTAATTTTAAAGTACGATACTTTAGCGGAATCAGTCAGGAGCTTGTAACATTAGTTAATTCTAAGGTACGATATTTTAGCGGAATCAGTCAGGAGCTTGTAAATATTAGTTAATTTTAAAGTACGATATTTTAGCGGGGTCGGTCAGGAGCTGCAACATTTGTTAATTCTAATGTACGATAGTTTAGCGGAATCAGTCAGGAGCTTGTAAATATTAGTTAATTTTAAAGTACGATACTTTAGCGGGGTCGGTCAGAAGCTGTTACATTAGTTAATTCTAAGGTACGATATTTTAGCGAGGTCTATCAGTAGCTTGTAAACATCAGTTAGTTTATTAGTACAATATTTTAGCGGGATTGCAGTAAAGTAAACTTTTATGTCCATATCTCTCAATACCAAAGTTATACCGGGTTTTACAGGACTACTGTTTCACGTTCCCCTTCCGATGGACACCCGTTTTTACGACGCTGAGTTTATCACAGTTCCCTTTTAGTATGAACCTCGTATGACATTTATATATTGGTGAACGTGTATGCCTCTCCTTAGATTCGTGACATAACATGCTAGAAAAGCGTGTTTATGACCGCCGAAATATAACCTCCATATATATATGTCGGACGAGGGTGTGGGTATCAACACTGATTAGCAGCTCTAGACACGGTCTCGTCGACGAAGTGTTTATCAGCAGAGTGGTTTCCAAAATTTGATGCCATCAAAACAGTTCGGGAAAACATGCCCATTTATCAATTACAAACATGTATTTGAACGATGACCATTACAACTGATAACATGCTGTACATAAAGGTTGTCCAACGTGTGAAGATTTGCAGTGGAGTGATTTTATCTGAGAATTCCTGCACGAGATTGATATAAGTCATAAAATATCATCGAAAGATGTGTATGTCGCTTTACCAATTACCCCAAAACATGAAAAAATCTTAAGACAACTGATGTTCCGATACATACATGTACGATTGAAGTATTTTCCATAAATGTTTATGATTCATGAAGCGTCCTAAACAATCGCAAGACTCCTATTATCAATTTAAATGTGCATTTCAAGATACTAATGGATTTCTTTAAATCATTCTTAAACAAAAACATTAAACAAAACCAACAGGAAACTCAAGCACAAGCCTTTATTCCGGACTCAGATGTCCAAACCGAACTAAACAATATACTTCATATGTAATTGTTATTTCTTTTGCAGACAAAGCATCTTTAACTGAATTTATCACATAACTGGCCCATTTTACTATGCCATACGGCCATGTCATAACTATGGTATTACACACGTGTAATAAAACCTGTTTGCTGTGATTGGTCAAAACCACGGGAACATATTCCTGCGCCACTACAAGCACTACATTTATTTACTACACCGTAGTGACAAAATAATACAAAATCAACAAAGAGGATTCGAAAACAAATACATAAGTACTTATATTAATTCGTCTCCTTATTAATAAACCTGGCAGTAGGACGGCACTGTTACATATATTTTGATAGTATAACAGACAAAGAGAAGAAGAAGAAATCACGGAGGGGAGGGCGGAAGGGGTGCATCAGGAAATGAAAGAAAGTGGTTTCGAAGAGAATAACGAGAAGAACTGCATTATTTAATTGAATCTGGTTGGAATGTGATTCATGAAAAGGTAACCCTAATGAGCTCTATATAAGGATGCATTAAATACATTGGAAATCTCTAACTTGCCTTACGTTGATTCCAATAAAAAAGTATACTGATATCCTGCAAAATGCAAGAGTGTTGTAGTCTATATTAATTCCAGTATCAACAAGACTCATTAAGTCTAAATATCATACTGGCATGTCACAAGTGTTGTCGAACAACATTGGTTTCAAAGTTAATGTACAATAATTACATAAAAATAAAATAAAATAAATAAATCGTATATAAATACATCCGTACATACATCTAGAATAAGGACATATATAGCAGTATAATACAAAAGTGATGTTTACCTCAATATAATAAAGTTTAAAAATATATAGATTCACACAAAAGAAAAGACGTTTCAAGAGATTTAATTTCTACCCCAAACGAGATCCGCGAAACAAGACATCACTAACACCCATTAGGGCATAAGTAAAATGAAAATAAAATCGAAATGTTTTGCAGATCACCCTTGAGACAGTGGCCAGTTCACTCGACATTTTAAAGTAAGTACGTACACCTACCTACCTACCCACCCACCTACCTACCCACCTACCTACCTACCTACCTACCCACCTACCTACCTACCTACATACATACATACATACATACACACACACACGCATACCTACCTACATACATATATAACATAATTTATACATACATAGTATAGATACCTAGTATACATAACGTAAATACAGCAACATGGTATCGGAGGATCACTGGTGTTAAGTAGCTGTAAGTACAATGATCAGAATAGCACGTTTTTGTTTCTAATCGTATTTCATAGCTATGATAGTCATTTTATAACTCATAGCAAAACAAACACTGTATGAAGATAATATACGACTGTAGTATAAATGGAAACTGTACTGTAGTGATGTACACTAAAGTCCGTGTGTACTGCAGACCAGAAGGGTCTACTCGCTACATTAATATAATATTTTCATGTTATAGTCAGCAGTGAGATCTCGTTCCGTTTTTATTA